GCGCTGTGACGCAGCTCTTGCAGATTACCTTTTTTGTTCGTTGTCTGTCATTTCGAAGCTTAAGTTGCATACGTTTTTCTTTAGTTATAATTCGAACTATCGATCTGACCAAGTAGACGCCATAATCCCACTTTTTCTCTCCCGCTTTCTGTTTTTTTTTTTTAATGGTGGGTGTTTACGCAGGTGGCTAGAGCAGTGCTGACTGGGGAGAACGGAGGTGTGATCACTCTATTGGTTAGTACGACTGCAACTCAAGGCTGGCAGTCATGCATATGCTCTGGAACAGAGTAATATCGCGTCCATATCGCAGGCTTTGCGATTAGGAAATCGCAACTTCTCAAATCGCGATTTCGATTAGATTTCGATTAATCGCACAGGCAGGCAACACCACCAAACTGATCAAATATGAACTTCCTCAGTTGGCGAAGGAAGTACAACCTCTGCTGGGCCTGTTTAACAATGGAGTCTATGTGTGAGTGTCCCACTTCAGGTCCTAGGAGATTGTGGTGCCCAGGAACCTGAATGACTCCACTGCAGCCACAGTGCTGTCCATGATGGTGAGTGGAGGGAGTGCAGGGGGGTTTCTCCTGAAGTCCACTATCATCGCCACAGTTTTGAGCGTGTTGAGCTCCAGGTTGTTAAGACTGCATCAGACAGCCAGCTCTTTAACCTCCTGACTGTAAGCAGACTCGTCACTGTCCTGAATGAAGCCGATGAGTGTGGTGTCGTATGCAAACTTCAGGAGCTTGACAGAGGGGTCTTTAGAGGTGCAGTCGTTGGTGTACAGGGAGAAGAGCAGTGGGGAGAGGACGCAGCCCTGAGGAGCTCCAGATTATTTAATTAATTTTTATTATTTTTAATTCATTCATTCATTCATTTATTCATACTAATCATACTACTACTTACATTTACATTTATTTACATTTACATTTATTCATTTAGCAAACACTTATCCAAAGCGACTTACAATTGAGGAATACAACAAGCGATTCATCACAGGAAGTGCTCTTAATACAAAGTTTCAGACACTGTTCAGATTAGTACAAGTACTAGATGGAGGAGAAAGCAAAGTTTGTTTTTTTTTTTTTTAGGATGCAGTCAAATGTTGACAAAAGAGACGAGTTTTCAGCTGTCACTTGAAAATTGTCATGGATTCAGAATTCAGGATGGGGGTGGGAAAGTTGATTTTGTGCCTCTCTGTGATTGTACCACGAGGCGCCACTCACTTGTACATCTCAGGCTTCTGGAGGGGGTGTAGATTCATAAGAGTGAGTTGAAGTAGGAGGGTGCTGAGCCTGTGGCTGTTTTATATGCAAGCATCAATATCTTGAACATGATGCGAGCCACAAACGGCAGCCAGTGCAGGGAGATAAAGAGAAGTGTGATGTGGGCGCTTTTGGGCTCATTAAAGACCAGTCGTGCTGCTGCATTCTGAAGCATTTGAAGAGGTTTGATTGTGCACGAAGGAAGTCCTGCCAGAAGAACATTGCAGAAGTCCAGCCTAGAAATGACAAGGGCCTGGACAAGAACTTGAGCAGCATGCTCTGTTAGGAAGGACCTGACCTTTCTGATGTTCTGCAATTCAAACCTGAAAGATCGAGCGGTTTTTGAAATGTGGTCTTTGAAAATCAGCTGGTCATCAAAGATTACACTAAGATTTCTGACCGAACATGATTGGGTAATTGTTGATTAACCTAGCTGGATGGTGAAATTATGCTGTAGAGTTGGAGAGGCAGGGAAGACAAGAAGCTCAGTCTTTGCCAGGTTGAGCTGTAGGTGATGTTCTTTCATCCGTGCCGAGATGTCCACCAGGCAGCCTGAGATCCATGCAGCTACCATTGGGTCATCTGGTTGAAATGAAAGATAGAGCTGAGTGTCATCAGCATAGCAATGGTAGGAGAAACCATGTACTTTTATGATGGGTCCCAGTGATGTAGTGTATATGGAGAAGAGGAGGGGTCCCAGAACTGATCCCTGAGGAACCCCTGTGACCAGTTGATTTGCTTTTGATACCTCCCCTCCCCAGGCCACCCTGAAAGACCTACCTGTGAGATAGGATTCAAACCAGTGAAATGCAGTTCTTGTGATGCCCAGTGAAGAGAGTGTGTACAGGAGGATCTGATGATTTACAGTGTCAAAAGTGGCAGATAGATCCAGCAGAATGAGAACTGGTGATTTGGAATCATGAGAGGGGAGTTTTAGCAGTGGATATGGTTGGTTTGAGTTCATGTGTTTGTGGAGTTGAGAACTGACTGCTCATGGTTTTAGTTTTGTCTGTGAAGAGTGTGGCAAAATCATCAGCTGTTAAAGAGGTGGTGGAGGGGGACAGAGAAGAGATTTTAATGTTTTGAAGAGATTACATGTGTCTGAAGCGTGGTTGATCTTGTTGTGGAAATATGAAGATTTGGCAGTATGGACTTCAGCAGAGAAAGATGAAAGCAAAGACTGATCCATAGTCCGGTCTGATGGATCTTTCGATTTGCGCCATTTTCTCTCTGCTGCTCTGAGTTTGGACCGATGTTTGTACAGAACATCAGACAGCCAGGGGTTAGAAGGGGTAGCACGTGCTGGCCTGGAGGAGAGAGGACATATATTGTCTAGACAAGAAGTTAAAGTGGAGCATAAAGTGTCAGTTGCTGCATTCACATCCAGAGATGAGAAATGGGTGGGTGAGGGAAGAGAGAAAGACACTACAGAGGAAAGATGGGAGGGTGAAAGGGAGCGTAGGTTTCCCTTAAAAGTAACCGGTAGAGGGGCATTTAGCAGGATGTAGGTTACATGTTCTAAAGAAGTCAGAGATGTGTAGGGGTTTTACCAAAACGTTGTCTGCAATACAATTGTGTGTGTAAATTAAGTCAAGCTGGATGCCGGATTTGTGAGTGCGTGTGGTGGTAAGCCGTTTTAAATCAAATGAAGCTAGGAGTGAGTGGAAGTCTGCAGCATAAGTCAGTGTAGCACAACATTTGGAGTCAAAATTGATGAAACCGAGCTGCCGCTGAGAATCAAACCGTCTGCCGGCTGATGCTTCACCTGAGCAGTTTCCCAATCTGAGGTTTTGACCACACCATTCCTGAGGGCTGGTGGGTGGTGGAGTTGGCGCCACAGTCGATGTAGCGGTAAGCCTCCAGAGTGTTCTGTGCCGCCCGCACCATGTAGGAGGTTTTCACAGAGGTCCTGGGGTGTATAGGAGAAGCGGTCAGGACTATTTCATAAGAATCTAGAGGAAAACCCTACATATACTCAGACAAAGCAAAAGGCACAAATGAGAAAACGGTTCTTAAGGACCACATTTACTGTGGCTTGACAATTTCACAGGCAAAATCCTGTCATTTCCGGAGTAATCCATGCGATCTGTAGCTGTGCGTGAGGGTGAAAGTTTTCCCCTTGTAGATTTTGTGTTCAAGTTGGTCATAAAAATCAGTGGCATTGACCTTTTTCACCTGTGAACTTGCGCAAATGTGACCACACCTTTATGCTTCACTTCACCTCCAATTTTCAAATGTAGGAAAACAACAAAAGACAAAAAGGATGAGAAAATGTAGTGATGAGAAACTTACTGCGTGAACACCACAATGTTGTGGACCTTGATGCTTGCCATGGTGCAGAAGGCACTGAGAAAACAGTTCAAAAACAGAAGATCGGACACGCAGATTCATGAGATCAACTCGTTCATCCAAAGAGAACTGATTTGATACTCACTAAACGTAAGAGAGACTTCCTCCAATCTCCATGCTGACAGTGAAGTTGACCTGCATTAAAAAAAAAAACATGTTACATACTCTACAACAGTACAACTACTATCTGTCTTTTCTCCCACAAATTGATCAGAAGTGACAGTACAGATATTTATAATGTCACAAAAGATGTCTATTCCAAATAAATGATGTTCTTTTGAAATGCAAAGCTGAAATTTACTCATCCTCAGGTTGTCCAAGATGTAGATGAGTTTGTTTCTACATGGGAACAGATTTGGAGAAATGTAGCACTGCATCAGTGTCTCAGCAATGGATGCTCTGCAGTGAATGGGTGCCGTCAGAATGAGAGTCCAAACAGCTGATAAAAACATCACAATAATCCACAAGTAATCCACACCACTCCAGTCCATCAGTTAACATCTGGAGAAGTGAAAAGCTGCATGTTCATAAGAAACTAATTCAATGCTTTAAACCATTGCTTATGGCTAAAGTAATTCACAATTCATAATAACGCTTCCACTAGCGAAATAGTCCATCCCCTGTTGTTTTCTCACATCAAAATCCACTCACATATTTGTTTAGAACTGTTTCAGACTGTTTTGGCTTGTAAACGCTGCTTGATCTGTGTGTATTTCTCTCCTGATTCAGACAAGATGCCTCTTTCACTGGAGGAAGCATTAATATAGGTTATGGACTCATATTTTAGCTGGAAGTGATGGTTTAAAGTGAAAACTTCTTAATGATGGATTTGTTTCTTACAAAGAAAAATTTTCACTTCACAAGACTTTAACTGATGGACTGGAGTGGTGTGGATTACTTGTGGATTATTGTGATGTTTTTATCACCTGTTTGGACTCTTATTCTGACGGCACCCATTCACTGCAGAGCATCCATTGGTGAGACACTGATGCAATGCTACATTTCTCCAGATCTGATCTGATGAAGAAACAAATCATCTTGAATGGCCCGAGTAAATTTTCTGAACATTTTTGGGTAAACTATTTCTTTATCATTTCTATTCAAAGAATCCTTAAAAAAAAAACTACCACGGTTTCCACAAAAATATCAATCAGCACAACTGTTGACTGGAGTAATGATGCTGAAAATTCAGCTTTGATCACAGCAATCAATTACATTTGAAAGCATATTCAAATAGAAACAAAAAACATTAAATAATCATTTACAATATTAATAATTCATAATCATTTACAATATTTTACTGTATTTTTGATCAAATAAATGCAGCCTTGGTGACCATAAGAGATTTCTTTCAAAATCTGTATGACCATAACCTTTTGAACAGTAGTGTACATTAGAAAATGGATGTTGGGCTCATCACTCATCACACCTGTCTCTGGCTGAGAGGTTGAATGTGGATGATGTTGTCTAGCTGTTGAGATCCGATGACTGTCTTCATGTAGAGCACCTGGCAGCTCACGCTGTCCACCCACACCGTGAAGAAATTAGAGTTGGTGAAGTTCAAGGAGCTCTGTTTAACACACACACACACACACACACACACACACACACACAGTATTCAGTACAGTTATAAGCCAAAATTAGTGTTTCTTTAAATTACAGGTCTGACTGGAAGAGCTTATTTTTTATTTTACATACAGTGTTTTGATGTCCAATTTAACTATTCTAGACTGGAGCTGCATTGAGAATATTACAAGTATAAGCTTTCACATTTCGACTTTGAAGGAATATGAATACAATTTGCTGAGCAGGGACAATTTTGATTGCATGTTGTTTCCAAACAACTTTTTAGAATAAATGCCTCAACACAATTTATTTAATTTCTTCATATCATTTAACCCATCATAAAAAAGAGATTTAAAAGAAGTTACCGTCATGTTGATGAGCACTTTGCTGTTGTTACGGTCAAAGTGCACAGTCACAGAGCGAATGCCATCATCAACGACCAGCACAGGACGTGGAAACAGGAAGAAAGCCACCAAAACAGATGCCAGCAGACACAAAATCACTGAGAGCACCACATACGACTTCCTGCCAAGAGAAGAATTGCTAAATCATAAATCTATTTCTGTCTGTTAAGACATTTTTTAGTGAGAGATAGTTCAACCAAAAATGTAACATTTAATTGTCATCATTTATTGCAAACCTGAGTTTCTTTCTTCTGCTGAACACACACACACACACACACACACACACACACACACACACTATTTTGAATAATGTTGGTAACAAAACAGTTTCTGGTCCCCACTGACTTACATAGTATTTTGTTTCCATAGAGGTCGACCGATTGATCGGAAAGCACATTAATGTGTTCATTCAGCCGATAGAAATCCTGCCGCATCACACAGTTTTACATTAAATTTGTTCCAGATCATTGTTAATGTACATAATGAATTCACTTCACCCTAGGCTGTAAAATTGTGTATTGTGCCTTTTCAGCAAAACATTTGTCTTTCTGTGGCTCTGATAAAGCATGCTTCAATTAGCTATAATATAGATTGAGCTTGCTCTTTCCATTTGCTCTGTTTTTTTAAACACTGAACTTCAAACTCATCTACGCCACTTTGTTCATTCTTGAAGTGAACTTTTGCCCGTTTGGTGATTAAATAAACAGTTTTAGACCGTCAACGCGACGTGTCCGGTAGATATCTGCGAGTTCTCCTAGATGCGGCGCTGCACTTTTGCGAGAGTATACATACAATATCCATATGTACAGCATGTAATTTCAATGCAATGGCCTTTGTGTAGATATTTAAAGGGGTCATATGATGTTAAAGAACATTATTTTGTGTATTTGGTGTAATGAAATGTGTTTATGTGGTTTAAGGTAAAAAAAAAACACATTATTTTCCACATACTGTACATTATTGTTTCTCCTCTATGCCCCGCCTTTCTGAAACACGTCGATTTCTACAAAGCTCATCGGTCTGAAAAGCAAGGTGTGCTCTGATTGGCCAGCTATCCAGTGCGTTGTGATTGGCCGAATTCCTCAAGCATGTGACGGAAATGTTACGCCCCTCACCATACTGTGATGCCTGCGGCAACCACATGTGAGGAACCCGGGCTGGACTCCGCTTCGTCCACGGTGAAAGCCGATCCGGCGATCCACAGCGAAGTTGTGAAGTTGTTGAAGTTGATGCATTTCCTCAGCGATCCGCACGGATCAGCTCCAGGCATGACGAAGCAGATATCGTCCTCTTTTGGAAGACCAAACAAAGTAGTTTCGCTTTCACAACGAAACACACAGCATCTTCACGACATGGCGTGTCGTGACACAACAACAATACTACAGCGAGAATAAAAGTTACGCCTTCTTTCTTTGCGTGAACATTTGGGCGGCGTTATGCAAATCTTCCCACATAGTGAGGTAGATATGTGGGGGCGTGTTAGAACGAGCCGTTTTAGGTAGGCGTGGTTGACTCTTAACTTTTATAAAGAATATCTCTTTGGATTTGAGACTTTAGTCTTTGCAACTTTACAGATCTTCTTTATGCAACAAAAGCTTTTAACACTCCAAAGAGAAAGGAAAAATTGAAATCGCATCATATGACCTCTTTAAAGATGACCATCTTAAAGAATGACTGTTGAAATGAAATGGTAACACTTTACAATCAGAGTCCATTTGTAACATTAACTAAGGTTTATAAACGCTGTAGAAATATTGTTCCTTGTTAGAGTGTGTTAATTTCCACATTTACTATTACATTTTTCAATTTTAAAGTTGCTTCTGTTAACATTAGTTGAACTATGAACTGACTTTAATGATCACTACATAACTAATATTAATATTTTATTTATTTACAGATTACAGATTATGGTTCAGTAGCTATCGGTAAAATCCACTATGGGACGACCTCGGTTCCATACTGTGGAAGTCAATGGTGTTTATCAACTGTTCTGTTTCAGAATATCTACTTTTGTGTTCAACTGAAGAGAGAAACTCAGACTCATAACTGTGATCTGTGTGTGATAACTTACGTTCTCCGTGGCTGTAACCTTTGATCGCTGTAGGGGATCAGAGCAACTAACTCATTCAACTGCCCTGAAAGAGAGAGAGAGAAAACTTGATCAGAGGTTCAGATAACATGTAGAATCACACCAAAGTTCATGTGGTCATCTATACAACCTTATGACCTCAAGCAATAGCATAGATTATCTGGTCTTTTACACAACACCCTATAACGGATGTGATCATTGTGTAAAAGTCTTTCAGAATTTAAATGCAAATGAAAGAAAAACTTTCGTGTTTGGATGTCCCTTCATTAGTTCTTCAGCAATGAGAATTTATCAAGAATTACCTTTGACATTAAAGGGAAAAAACAACGTAAATATTATAATAATAAAACGTGCAGATGCATTAAAATAATGAGAATTTGTGGGGGGAAAGCTCAACTGTCACTGAGTAAAAGGTTTTATAATATTTAGTATGTCTAATAAAAGAGATTCTAATACTGGGATCAATGACTTTGTGCATACAACTTTTTTTCGTCTGGTTTTCAAGCTGAAATGTGACTTGGACATGTTTTAGCGAAATCCTTACTTTAACACTCAAATGTAAGATGTGTGTTTTTTCACATCCACACCTGATGGGATGCGTCCGGACCCCTGGCAGGTAGGACAGGTGATGCTGTCTTGGCCTGTGAACTCCACATATGGGAACTGGGCGATGTCCTGCTGTCTGTCCAGACCGTCTAGAGAGTCATCCCCACCCGTCAGAGAGCCCTTGTGACCGGCCCTGCTGTGACGGGACAGGAGCGAGCGGCCGTGCCGGCACACAGATGCACCCATGAGAAGCACAAACCAACTCCAGCCTGATACCAGCAACTATAGACAGATGATCAGGAGTCAGTAAGCGCATATATATAAGTAATACAAAAGTAGTCAGAATACAGTATATAAAATGAGTAATCTAGATTACATTACTCACTACAATTTTCATCATGTAATTTGTATTCAGTAACAGACTATAATTTGTGTGCAAACCACTCGGCACTGTTTCTGTATAACACACACACACCTGGTTCACTATCCTTGTAGGGACTCTCCATAAGCGTAATGGTGTTTATACTGTACAAACTGTATTTTCTATCGCCCTACACCAACCCTACCCCTCACAGAAAACTGTGTGTCTGTGTGTCTATGTGTGTGTGTGAGTGAGTGTGTGTGTGTGTGTGTGTGAGTAATGGTGTTTATACTGTACAAACTGTATTTTCTATCGCCCTACACCAACCCTACCCCTCACAGAAAACTGTCTGCATTTTTACTTTCTCAAAAAAACTCATTCTGTATGATTTATAAGCTTTTGTACCCACAGAGACCTCAATTTAGGTCCCCACGGTGACACAAGTCCCCATGAGTCTGTGTGTATTCAGGTTTAAAGCCCCACCAGTGTAGAAAAACCTGTACACACACACACACACACACACACACACAGAGTCTGGTCAGCTATCCTTGTGGGGACTCTCCATAGGCGTAATGGTGTTTATACTGCACAAACTGTATGTGCTATTGCCCTACACCAACCCTACCCCTAAACCTACCCCTCACAGGAAACTTTCTGCATTTTTACTTTCTCACAAAAACTCATTCTGTATGATTTATAAGCTTTTGTACCCCTGGGGACCTCAATTTAGGTACCCACGGTGACACAAGTCCCCATGAGTCTGTGTAGTCAGGTTTAAGTCCCCACCAGGATATATAAACCTGTACACACACACACACGTTGTCCATTATATATATATATATTGAAACGGACAAACTGATGTTGTTCATTATGTGTGTGTGTGTGTGTGTGTGTGAGTGATTGTGTGTGTGTGTGAGTGAGTGAGTGAGTGAGTGAGTGTGTCTGTGTGTGTGTGTGTGTGTGAGTGAGTGAGTGAGTGAGTGAGTG